CACCACAGTTTCTGACCTTGACAAGCCCCAAAAACAGTCAACATCATGACCCCAGTAATGTTGAACCATGGGGGCCTCTCCAAAAGTGGTTTGATTCCAACCAAGCCCAGGGAGAAGCACCCCCATATTAACAAACTGGTTGGTTGATTAATATGGGGTCAACGTTAAATAGCCAACAATTGTTGATTTCAGCAAAACGGCACAAGCAGATGGTGATGTCTATATTCGGTGATTGTTGGGAAACATTCTACATTTTGGCTTGTTGTGGTTTAGTGGGAAGTGGGAAATCTCCACTTGACTGCTAAAATTCGAATTATTGCCCCCCTTTCAACACCAACCAAGTATATATATATATATATATATTATACACAACCCTCCTAGTTTTCCGCCCGGGATGGAGCAGGTCTTTTTTTTGTCGGTTTGGATTCAAGACATGGTCAACAGGTGCACCAAGGGCACTAAACAGGTTCCCACGTGAGTCGGGGGCAGAAGTAAGATTCGGTCTGGCTCACATGGGTCCAACTTGAGCGACCTGTGAAACCATCAGGGCTGGGCATCAGGAACTCATCGGAAGAATGCTTCTCAGCACAAAAGCCGCTTGGGCTAGATCTGGAACCACATCCATGGGGCAGAATATCCTTTTCACGGCAACATCATGTTTTTTTTGCCTGAAGCTTGCACTGAGCGGTGAGCAGTGCATCTCTTTGTGCATCTGTTTGCATCGATTTTGAGTCAATGCCCTGGGGCTGGAAGCTGAGGAAGATGATTGCTTCACGTGTGGCCCGAACCTGAGATGCCTCATGGAAGAACTTTGGTTTGGCTTTGAAGGGAAACCAGAGACTTCCCTTTCAGTGGAAGGCGCCGCTAACTTTCAGCCACAAGATGGCAGCGAACTGCTTTTCGTCCCACGGCTTTCGCGGATGCGGGTACTCCCACCTGGTTTGTGCAATCAACTCACACGTCATTTGATGTGTGGTTGACTCTTTGGACTCTTTGTCCTGGTCTAGACTTGGCTTTCCGCTCTGGTTCGCTGATGTTGGTTCTGGTGATCCTTTTGCATTTGCTCTGCTCGTTGCCGTTTCAGGAGGCCCCCCAACTTGGCGATCCCTCTGAAAGCCCAGACTGGGGTTCCGACGGATGCAGCCTGGATGGGAAGGCCAATCCTTTCCCATTGAGAACTACGGCAACTGGGTACCAAGTATGACAAGCTGACGGCAACAAGTGCTTGTCCATGATGGAGGTTCTTTTCTCGGAAATGCAATGAATTCTATTTGGCGAGCTATGCTTACATAGTCCAGGTCTACCAGTGACCCGAGCCGCCCCTGGCAATCAATGTCAACCAATGATGTATATGAGTATAGTTTATAGCCATCGTCGGAAAGATAGAAAAGCTCGAACGTCTGGAAAACGATGTCGGATGGTTATACATGTATGTGGTTCCGAATGTTTCGGGCAAACAAGGAGCATGGATGTTCAAGCAGAGGCCGAGACCTGAATCCCACTCCGAGCCCAGTCAAAACCTGGTTCCCTCAGTTCAGTTCCCAGAGCTCCCAACCTTGAACCAATATGTTTTTTTCTGTTTTACGTATTTGGCATGCTTGGCCCAGGAGTGGGACGAGTGGGAGGAGCTGCGCGGACGTTTGGGAGCAGCTCGGAGCGAAAACTCAGGGAGAGGTTTGACATTCTTTCGAGAAGGCCTTCCTAACAATGCGCGCATGGCTTCATATGGGAGTCGTTCTAAATTGCCAGTCTTAAACTTAAGTAAAGGGAGGTTCTGAAGGTCTAGCGCGAAAGGAAAACACTGCATCGCGAAAGGCCGGCGAAAGGGCCGTTTCTAGGAACTCTTATTTTGAACAACCCCCATATACTGCTGGCTGCTTGCTTTACTTTCCCTTGCAACACGTGTCTTGACGTCTGGCACTGGGCCTAGTGGGCGAGGTATTGTGTGCAATGCATGTTGAATCTTGTCTGTGTATTTTCTGGCAACAGGGCCACTTTCAAGAGAGCTTCCAAACTGCGACCAACATTCAGAAGCAAACACTGCAAGAAAGCAAGAAAGCAAGCGCACAGGCACGCAGGCAGGCACGCAAGCACGCACGCACGCAAGCACGCACGCACGCACGCACGCAAGCACGCAAGCGCGGAAGCGCGCAAGCACGCAAGCACGCACGCACGCAAGCGCGCAAGCACGCAAGCACGCAAGCACGCACGCACGCAAGCACGCAAGCGCGCAAGCACGCAAGCACGCAAGCACGCACGCACGCAAGCACGCACGCACGCAAGCACGCACGCACGCACGCAAGCACGCAAGCAAGCAAGCACGCAAGCACGCACGCACGCAAGCACGCACGCACGCACGCAAGCACGCACGCACGCACGCACGCACGAAAGCACGCAAGCAAGCAAGCACGCAAGCAGGCACGCACGCACGCACGCAAGCACGCACGCACGCAAGCACGCAAGCGCGCAAGCACGCAAGCACGCAAGCACGCACGCACGCAAGCACGCAAGCGCGCAAGCACGCAAGCACGCAAGCACGCACGCACGCAAGCACGCACGCACGCAAGCACGCACGCACGCACGCAAGCACGCAGCAAGCAAGCACGCAAGCACGCAAGCACGCACGCACGCACGCAAGCACGCACGCACGCACGCACGCAGCGCAAGCACGCACGCACGCACGCACGCACGCAACGCACGCACGCACGCAAGCACGCACGCACGCACGCACGCACGCACGCACGCACGCAAGCACGCACGCGCGCACGCACGCAAACACGCAAGCACGCACGCACGCAAGCACGCAAGCAAGCAAGCACGCAAGCACGCACGCACGCACGCACGCAAGCACGCACGCACGCACGCACGCACGCAAGCACGCACGCACGCACGCAAACACGCAAGCACGCACGCACGCACGCAAGCACGCAAGCAAGCAAGCACGCAAGCAAGCAAGCACGCAAGCACGCACGCACGCACGCACGCAAGCACGCACGCACGCACGCAAGCACGCACGCACGCACGCAAACACGCAAGCACGCAAGCACGCAAGCAAGCAAGCACGCAAGCACGCACGCACGCACGCACGCAAGCACGCACGCACGCACGCACGCACGCAAGCACGCAAGCAAGCAAGCAAGCAAGCACGCAAGCAGGCACGCACGCACGCACGCAAGCACGCACGCACGCAAGCACGCAAGCGCGCAAGCACGCAAGCACGCAAGCACGCACGCACGCAAGCACGCAAGCGCGCACGCGCGCACGCACGCAAGCACGCAAGCACGCACGCAAACACGCAAGCACGCACGCAAGCACGCAAGCAAGCAAGCACGCAAGCACGCACGCACGCAAGCACGCACGCACGCACGCAAGCACGCACGCACGCACGCAAACACGCAAGCACGCAAGCAAGCACGCAAGCTGGCAGAGACAGACAAACACTCAAAGTCTTCGTATTGCCATTTGATGCACAGTGATGCAGCTGTCGCTTTGCGCTGCCCCAGACCCTGTCGCTCTTTCCGTACATCCAGCCGGAGCAGCACCAGTTCGCCGGGGCCCAGAGTAGTGAAACGGCGACTGTTGATTGGATGGATGTGGGAGTTTGTCAAAAGATTATGGCCCCTTGTACCCTGGTGCGTTCGAACACGTGTCGGTTGTTGAAGCCGATACTTTCATTGCCCCAACGCGGGCTTTCGCTGGGTCAAACCCACCCAGTGCCATAAGTTTCTTTCTCGGCGCCCTGACTTGGCACTGGGGTTGGCATTGCCCCGGGCAGGCACCTGATTGACGGTTGGCCAGTGTGAGGTGTTTTTTCGCCAACAGCTGAAAGCTTTGGGGCCTCAGCCCAGATAGGCTCCGGGGTGGTGCGGGGCGGCCCTGAGGTAAGGTTCCACGAGGGTTCCACCAGGGTTCCACCAGGGTTCCACCAGGGTTCCACGAGGTTCTGCGAGGGCTGCGGGGTGGTGCGAGCACTAAAAAGAGCACCGCATGCTGTTGGGGATATCACCTGAGCTTCTTTTTTTTCCGTTCCGCCGACCGTTCAAAGTCGGAACAGGCTAGGGTGTCTCGAATCTGTCTCAGTCGGAACCTGAGTCAGCTGTTCTGTATCACTCGAACAGTCGTCGCTTTATACGTCGGTTTCACTTGAGACACCTGGGAGTAGCACTTCCGAATTCTCCGGTGCTTGGAAGGGTTGGTATATTCGGACTCCGGCTTGCGCCGGGGTGTTTGCCAGGTGCTGGCCATTGTGAGGCAAACAGTTTTCATGGCAAAGGCGAGATGGCACCAGTGCTGCTGCACCTTTCCAAAGCGACACAAGGGAAGCACACTTATGTTTCACAAATTTGGGTTCAAGACCTGTGTGAAAGAAAGAAACTGACACCCTGGGGAACGCTCAAACCATTTCATCCTCACCCATGGTCCACTTTGTCAATAGTAGTCCATTGGCGGTTACTCCCCTCACAAAGAGCCGGGTGCTGGCCAGCGCGCCGAATCCAACGACTTCAGCGCTTCACGGTTTTGGGTGAATTGTCTCGGCGCACGACCTCACCCCAAATGGTGGTGTATGTGGGGAATAGCCCCCCAGCCACCGCAAGTTTCAGGTTGGTAAAATATGATAATTCTCGCAGGTTTGATGGAGGTTTGGACATGGGCGAGGACAGTCCTAGGGAGCCGCATCTAGGTCCCCCAGCTAGTAGTGCCTTTTTACCGTTTCTTTTTTGGTTGGGAGGGTTCCCCTACTAAAATCGACTACAGCAAAAAAATCGGGCACCCTGATTCTAACGTCTCAAATCTGGAGGACCTAGGCATGTTTTCGGGTGCCGGTTGTTGAGGTGCTCGACACGTCGCGGTACGAAGACCGCATCGCTGCAAGCCTGGTGGTGGGGCGTCCTAGGATGGGAGCACCCCATTCCTCACTCGGGTTTTGGGTGAGGGGCTCCCTCCATATGGCCATGGGTCAAAATTCAAAGCCCGTACCCCCAGTGAACATCCCAATCCCCACTAAAATAGGTTCTAAGATGTGTGGTGCACCTACCCCAAAATGGTACCATTGGTTTTGACCCACAGCCATATGTCTTGTTTGACTTTTCCGCCGTTTTTTACATTTGAAACCATACCACAGACAACAATTTGCACGCTTTTTGTCGCATTCTCAAGACAGGCCTTGGCAGGCAGCGGGTGTTCGACAGCCTCTCCCCTATTCAGATTTCAGCTTCTACGGAGGAGGGGCATTCAGTGGAGGGGCACTCATGGGGTTTGCAAGGAGCATTCACAATGCTTCAATTTCCTTCAACATCATTCGATCTGGCTATGAATTTTAATAGGGAACCCCCTCCGAAGTGGATGGTGGACATGAATATCCACCTAAATGATGTCCACCAAAGGGTCCCCAATTAAATTTCACACCCAACTGATTTGGGGCGAATTTGGGACACACGGTGTTTGGATTGTTTGATGTCCGCCAATGCTGAGGTGTCAACTGGGAGCAAATGGCTGGGAGTTCTCCAGCCATGGCAGACATGTACCGACCAACCCACCAGCCAGCTTAGCCAGCCAAAGGGCCAGTTTTGCCAACCAAAAAGGCTGCACAGCAAATGCAAGCAGCGTGCCCCTTTAGGCTTTGCCTTGCGCGACCGGATTTTGTTGCTGCTTGGCTTTCTGTTCAAGTGTTGACTGTTGTTGGCATTTTGGTGTTGTTTGTTTCGCATTTTTTGGATGTTTTTGTTTCAGCCTTTGTTTGAATGTGTTGATCTGTTGGGCCTGTGTTTTCTTTCAAGATTGACTGTCTCCGAATAGGGGACCCACCTTGGGTGGCTTCTTTTGGTTTCCTACAACAGCTTGGACGACATGTCCAGAAAGCACTTTGTGACTATCCCGGTAGAGCCAACATATGGGTGTGGCTCAAAATTGACCAGGAGGGGTTACGCAGGTTTTGGTCCATGTTTCCACTTACCAGGGTTCCATTTTGGTACCGGATTTTTGAGCCACAGCCATATAAACAAGTCACTGGCGTGTTTTGTGCTGTTTTGGGCCGTTTGGAGCACGGCTGCATGGATTCTCCGGGTGTATTTCATGCTGCGTTCGAAGACTCAGCCGCACCCTGTGAATCCCTGTAGCATGGTTTTTGTTGGGAAACATTTACATTTTTGCTTCTTGTGGTTGAGTGGGAAATCCCCACTTAACTTCTTTTTTGGCTTTTGCTCCCCTTCCAACGTCAACCGAGGCTAATCCCTTGAGCGTACCGCACCTTCCCAGGTTCGAATGAACATGAAGGAGTCCAAGCGCTTGGGGAACATCCGAAATCCCAGGCCAATGCATCGATCCAGGTACAGCCCACATGTGGACTCCACTCGTGTTACAGCGGTTCACTAGGTCACCAGGGGTGTGCATGTGCATGTGTGTGTGTGCTTTGTCGGTGTTGAGTCGGTGTGTTGCCAGGCAGCTGGGCAGGTCTCAATTGTCGCAATGTTCGGTCATGAAGCAGCGAGCTAGACGGTACGTTGCATTCAAGTGCTCAGACTATGGGGGATGGTACTTCAACCTTGGCAGACGCTGGCGTGTGAGTTGCGACGGTTTGGATCAAACAATGCTGCTCTAACTCGAAGAAGGGACTGCTTGCTTCGCGACTTAAATGCTTATGAAAGGCCTTTGCCATTGGACTTGTATAGGGATGAGGCACCATTCGTTTGGTTGAGCACCTGGCCTTTGTATAGCTACGGTTTTCAAGCAACGTCTTTGGTTCTGCGCGGATTTTTCGCGGATTGGGAAGGTTTTGCAATAGTTAGTTCTGTTCCCGGACAGCGTCGGCATGCTTGCAGCAGGTTAGCGGTTTAAGGGTAGACACGATCTTTCACATCTATGCAAAATCGGCTGTTTCACGCAGTACGGACGTCGTGGCAACGCTCCTTTCCAGAAGGCACCCGAATCACTCTGGGGCATCGGACCAAGTTTTTCGGGGGCAAGAACTACCCAGGTTTTGCCCGGAAGATGCGGTTCTGGGCCGGCTGCCTATTTCAGGTTTCCTGCTCTCACAGCGGATTGATTGTTTTTTCAAGGATCCAGAGCTCCCGAGCTCCCCAAGGCTCCAGACTCGGGGCCTAACTTGAGAGACGTTTTTTTTTCCCCATGAGGAAGAGGGGAGGCCTGACTTCGCGGGCACAACTGCTTTGGTTGGGTGCCATTTGATGTGCCCCTTAACCTCTGAAACCTCTTGGAGCAACTTGCTAGCAAGGCGAAAAACAGTTATGTTTTGTAGGAGCCGAATAAATCCAATGCAGTGGTTGGTGTCAGTCATCCAAGGGCAAGAACTATTCGCTTCTGGATGTTGGCCACTGCCCATCCGCTCCAGTTTGGTTCTCATCGGCGGGAACCAGTTCCAGTTCGATCGCGGTGTCGGGAGACACAGTGACACAGAAAGGGGACGCTTTGGTTTGCGCGAATGGGTCCCTTGAATGGGTCGCGCGCATTTCTCCCGTCTTGCCGAAGTCTTCCACTAGTTTTGCCATAGTCCTCCCTTTGTTTCCGGCAATGTTTCAGGCGGTCTTGAAGTCAAGTCCTTTCCGCCCGCGTTGTTCCAATCTTCCCACAAATTGTCCTATAGTATATGCTCCCTCAATGAAGCAGAGCTTCCCTCCCAACACGGAAGCTGACCATAGGTGTCCTTTTTGGTTGGTTTGCTGGAAAAATCGAGGGCGATTCCTGGTTTTTACCTGGTGGTTTAATCATCTACCAGGGCCTGAAGCTAAGCTGACGGGTCTCAAAAGGAACCTAGAGGTGCCCCATGGTCGGTGGAGTCCGGCTTGACTCGCATTGGAGCCACGCCTTCAAGAACATGTCCGCCAAAATTGCTTCCTTTTCGGTGTTGCGCGTTGATATTCTTTGTTGTTGCAAGCCTGCGCTCTCTTTGGTGCATTTTGCCAAGGGATGTTAGGACTTTAATAACTTTTTGCCAACTAATTGGTTTTCCGTATTAAACCACTAACAAGTTAAACTTTGAGCAGGGGAGCAGGTGGCGCAGCCGAGCTCTGGTTTGACACAAATCTTGCCAGCTCTGCTTCACTGAACTGGTTTTGAGAAGTATCGAGTTTTGCAATCCAACCCTGGCGCTTCTTCTGGGTCTAGGTCTATAGGTGTTACTCCCGCCTTTGAGCAGGTGAGAAGCTTTCTCCAAGCAACGTGTAGTGCTTCTAGTGGAACCCAACACCTCTGATTTTGGGGATATAAGGCCTCTTGGCGCATTTGCTTCGCCTTTCACCAACGGAGGGATCAGGTCGGTGAGCCGAGCTTCGAGCCCACATTCGCTTGCGATTCTCAGGGACTTCAATTCGGCACTGGTGGACCTTTCCAAATGGCAGTTCTAGCAGAGCCAAGGTCATCCTTGGGATCCTTGATGGGCTTGTTGGATAGGTGGGTTCGACTGGTGGCTTGATTTCACAGCTCTCTTCTAGTTGAGTTGTTGCTCGCTTGGAGAGATATCGAGATACGCCATACACCAGTAACTTGTTCTCTTGGAGCCACCGGGGTGGCATAATATGCCAGAACAGTGTAACGCAGGCACATAACATCCCTTGAGGAGTCGTGCCCTGGACTAGCTGTGGGCTGTACCAGTGGCACCAATTTAGATCACCCAAGAAACACTTCCTCGAGGGAGCGTGGAAACCGCAGACCAGCCGACCTTTTGAGGGTCCTCCTTTTGGGGAACGCCCAATTCAGACAAACATGCGCAAAGCAACTAAAACGGCAATGGGTGTTTGGGCAACCTACCTGTGGGAAAAACGAGGTCTATATCAAGGTCCCTTACTGTGGGTTCGTCATTGCCGGTTTGTGAACAGTTATTCCCCGATGGTCTCGGGCTCGGCATGGGACTGAGGTTCCGGCTGGGTGGACAAACACTTCGCAGCAGCCTCGGGGGCCTGGTGGTCTTCGGGTTGGCCAAGTTGCTTTGGAATAATGGATGACTCTCGCAACTGGTGGGTGCAAGAATCCCGATGTAAACGATCTCCATCCAATAGTCCCTGTTTCCTGATGATGATGCTTCTGCTGATGATGATGATGATGATGATGATGATGATGATGATGATGATAATGATGCGGCTACTGACGATGGCGCTGATGAAGTTGATGTGATGGTGATGGTAATGATGGTGATGATGGTGATGATGTTGATGATGATGATGATGATGACGATGATGATGCGGCTACTGACGATGGCACTGATGAAGTTGAGGATGTGATGGTGATGGTGATGATGTGATGATGGTGATGATGGTGATGATGATGATGTTGATGATGATGATGATGATGATGATGCGGCTACTGACGATGGCGCTGATGAAGTTGAGGATGTGATGGTGATGGTGATGATGGTGATGATGGTGATGGTGGTGGTGATGATGATGATGATGATGATGATGATGATGATGATGATGCGGCTACTGACGATGGCGCTGATGAAGTTGAGGATGTGATGGTGATGGTGATGGTGATGATGGTGATGATGGTGATGATGATGATGATGATGATGATGATGATGCGGCTACTGACGATGGCGCTGATGAAGTTGAGGATGTGATGGTGATGGTGATGATGGTGATGATGGTGATGATGGTGATGATGGTGATGATGGTGATGATGATGATGATGATAATGATGATGCCGCTGCTGCTACTGATGATGACGATGATGACGACGATGAAGATTATGAGGATGAGCCCAGGATGGCGGCGATGATGGTGATTCTGGTTCTGTGGTCGCGGTCGCCGTCCTCGCTGGCGTTCTGCTCGGTGCCAGGGCCATCCCGCAGGGCACCTTGCGCCTGCAGTACATGTGCGCGCCCGAGGCTCGCGCCAGCCGGGCAAGGGGCAAGGGGCCGCAGGGCTATCAAGGGGCATGTTGCCAGCGTCAAAAAGTCCTCCCTAGAAGCATTTTAGAAGCATGTTAGAACTTTAGAAGCATTTTAGAAGCATTCTAAAGAAGCATGCTAGAATTTTAGAAGCGTTTTAGAAGCGTTTTAGAAGCAACCACACAGATCTGAAGCGTTCTAGGGCAAGACGCCAAGGTGTAACATCAACTTGGCCTTGACAGAAACAGTTCGAGTGATAGCAATCTTGAGACAAGTCACTTCTTGAGTTTGTTTTTCATGTTGGCAGCTTGAACAGTCTCATGGAATGCTCCTTTCAAGGGACCTGCCAGGTTACGTGTCAATGGAGTGGCGCACGGTGCACGGCACGATTGCAGTACTTGCTCGCAAGGTTTAGACAGAGTCGCCGCATCTCCGGTGATGTTAGCAATGAATACCCTGGTTTCGCGGTAGCCACACGGATACACCGTACTAATTCGCAAATCCATCTGAAATGTGACGCGTTTGTAGCACCAGACGTGGATTCGAACCGCACCTGCAAAATTTCAGGGTAAAGTCCCTCGCACCCCTTAAATCCTTGTGTAGGCGGGGTTCCCTGTGTCCCCTTCAAAACAGGACCCCATGACCCCAAGAAATGGGCGTCTTTTTCCACCGGTTCTCTGGTTGCAACATTGGGGCACGCACTCCTCAGGGCTTTGGGGGTTGGGACGGTCGCCCATTTGCTCCCATTTGCATTTATTCGATATGTCCAACCTTGTGTATGTCAGTTTACTCGTTTCCCCGTTCATGGTCTTCCCCTTTCTCGTATTTTTTTCTGGGATCGTGCTTCGGAAGGGTTAGGCTTCGCTGGGTTCTCCATGAATTGATATGTTCGGGTATCCGGGTGGGCTCAATATGACAGATTCTTTTTTGAAGGGAAACCGGGTGGGCTCAATATGACGCAGACTCTTCTGACGCAGACTCTGGACACATTTTTGTGGTGTACCGAGTTGGGCCCAGCTGGGTCCGGCACTGGGGCTCGGACCAAGTCACCAGGTTTTCGGCGGTCCACTTCCCTTGCAAAGGGACAGCCCGTGAAAAGATGGGTCCAAAAAGGATCCCGTTTTTTTTTTTGGGGGGGGTTGTTTTTCCATGGAGGTTGGAGGGGGTGGACAACAAATTCGAGCTTTTGGCACTCTGACTGGAAGTCGACAACTAAGACAACCAGCCTCGGGGCCGCTTCATCTCATGTAACCAGCGGGTTGAAACAACGAAGAAGCCAAGTTGCATTCTCTCCTGGGGCCCCGAATCAATTCACTTCAGGGGGAAGCATGCTTGCAACATGGCTGTGGGTCAAAACCAATGGTACCATTTTGGGCTGGGTGCACCACCCATGTTAGTCTATGTTAGGGGGGATTGGGATATTCACTGGGGGCTAACCGGGATTTTGACCCATGGCCACATGGATAAAGCCATCTGTGCTTTTCCGTGGATTCCAACCACCGGGGTCTCCGTGACGCGGATGTTCTAAAAGGAGGTCTTGGATTCAGATCCCTTACTTCGGGTCGGTGAGGTAGTGCCAAACAGGTATCAATAAGACAAAGCCTAGGGGGACCCAGTAGCTCCCCGTTTTTTGGTTGGGAGATTCGGTGCCCCTACCAAAACAGACAGAAAAACAGTCCGGGCACCAACTTCTAACCTCTCAAGTCTGGACCCAGCAGTGGGAACGCGGAAAGGCTTTGGGATTTTTCAGGCTTTGGGAGCAGATCTGCTTCCACCAGCTCCCAGATTCCTTGGCCAACCATGGCCAGCTTTGCTTCGAGCCGCTGTTTCGGATTTCCTGGTCTATCCCACCAACCAAGCTGGAACCTGACTGGGGGTCTTGGAAGACAATGTTTCCCCAAAAAAGAGATCCTCTGGTGGGTTGCGTGGGAGGGTACTCGGGTTCAATTGAAAACCAGAGGAAAACCCCTCATTTTGGGGGGGGGCAAAAATTTCTGCCCCTGCGACGATCGGGTCTTTGGAGTGCCCGTGGCGTTCTGCCACGCCCGGATGTGCGGGGAATGCAGGACCACTTGATAGATTTCCGCTACGAACTTCTGGCGCAGTATGGGCCGGGCCCTTGGTTCTCAGCATTTGCAAGAAGCAGGGCTGGCATGGGACATTGGTAGGTTTTTCTTTTGGGATGGAAAAACGAACATGTGGAGGCAGCCTCTTGAGAGGGCAGCTGTCCACCATTGGTGCTTCTTTCAAAGCTGCCAATGGAACATGCGACTGGCTTTTGAAAGGCGCCTGCCCCAGCCATAGCTTTGCTTTTGATCGGTTTTGGTTAGAAATAGAAGCAACTTTGCGGGTCGGTCACCCATGCGGCGTTTTTGGTCCACATGTTTGAAGCACCTATGTTTCTTGGCGGGCCTGCCAGGGTTGGGCCAACCCTTTACACATGTATTGAAAGACTTTGTTTGGGCCACTTGTTATTTTACGTGACATATGTTGTAAGTGTAACCCCTTTTAAACAATTGGATGTTTGGGCCAACCCTTTACACCATCGTTTCAAACATCCCATGGCTTCCCCCGCTTAAAGGAGGACCAGGTGGTTCAAGCAGAAAGTCTGCCCAGCCCTGCCATTCTGCTCAGGGGCTGGCAAGCGGACCCGAAGGCCAAAATCATTTGGTGGGCTTACCTGCAGGCGGGTTTGCTCGGCTAACATCGGGTCAGCGCTTAGTGACAAAGCCCAAGCCTTTGGTGCATTTTGCCAAGGCATATTAGGACAGAATAGCTTTTTGCCAACGAATGGGGTTTCCGTATTAAGCCACCAAAAGTTGAACTTTAGCAGGGGAGCAGAAAGCAACCGAGTAATGGCGGAACCACCGATCATCGCCAATCCCAGTCGAAAGGTACACCCCACTTCTGTCCCGATTCGCCATGTATGGTTAGGAGTATCAATCGGGGACCCCGCAAGAAAATTGAGTCGGTGGACAGAAATCCTCAATGATATCCACCAAAGGGAGGGTTCCCCTACTAAAATAGATTACCGAAAACAAGGGTACCCTTATTCTAACCTCTCTACTGGAGGCCTTAGCCCTATATAGTTGGAGCTCAGGCAAGCTCTTCCTTTCAAAAAAAGGCCCGTTTTTCGGGGGCGTACTTCCGCGGGAGTTATTATTTGGCGGTACTCCAGCGTACAAACCAATGGTGAAACACCTTGAATGCTTGTCCAGATTACATAGGCTTACTCTAGAATTGGTTCAGAAAGGGTAAGGCGTCGTTTATTTGCTTGTTAGGGGCAAGAGTGTGCGGGTATCTGTGTGTGTGTGGGTCTTTTCTTGATTCGGCTTCTCAGAAGTTGGTTTGATATGGCCAGCATGGCCTTGCAAAACATGGGCATGCGGCGGGTTGGCAAAATTAAGGGTTGCCTTTCTTGATATGGCCATGGGTCAAAATCCCGGTTAGCCCTCAGTGAACATCCCAATCCCCACTAAAATCGGCTCTAAAATGGGTGGTGCACCTACCAACCAAAATGGGATCCCGTTGGTTTTGACAACCACAGCCATATCCACACCAACCCAGGTGCTGGATGAATTCGCCGCACTGCACATCATGCCTTGAGCGAACGTCTTGCACAGAGTTCGACATGCCTTGAATTTGTGTTCTTTTTGTTCGAGGGTGCCCCTTGTTTGATGATGTCCAGTATACTTTTGGCTGCGGAAGCCAAAGGAGAACTGGCTTCTTTGCTGCTTTTTTTTTGGGGGGGTTCCCCATTTGATACGCCAATGAGTCTCGCGGGCGTTGCATTGTCCGTAGGTCGCGGATGGCATGGTAGGTTTCAACACCCGGTCAGGGTTTAGGCAGTATGATCAGCCAATAACCTTTGAAGTTACAAGACATATGACTATGACTATTTAGAGATACCCAGGTGTTTCTTCTGGTTTGCTCAAGCTGCATCGAGGAATACCAAGGTGGATGTCCACGATGATTCCAATACTGACCTTGACATGCGAAAGGCACATTCGGTCGCCAAAGAGGCTACGCAGCACGCGTGGTACATCACAACGAGAGGTCCATAGCATGCAGCATCAATACATTCGGCACATCTGGAAGAAACAACTGCGTTTGGTACTCCAAGCAATCAATCGCACCATCCCATCGCGATGTACTATGCTTGAGTGGTGCTGAGATTGAAAGACACAAACACGCAGACAGATGGAAGGGCTCAATTCCAAAAGCGGTTTAGATAAGCATGTGCAGATGCGAACAGCTTAGTCGACTATTCTTGTCAACAAGAAAACGTTGTCGCATGATCATTCGATATGCGCGCCACGCAACAAACAACGAGCCCAAACATTCTCCCAAACATATCACTGGCATGTGTCCTACAGACATAACAATATAGGGGAGATCCAGTGGGTAGAAACCAGCAGCTTGGAATCTTCTGTCCTGTTTGGGTTCGGTTGCAGAAAAACGCCCTTCAACCGAGCCCTTTCCTTGGATCATAGAAGTGCCGGAGATTTTTCAGGGTGTTTGCGAAATATGAGCCAGCAGCACGGCAACATTTTTGCGGATACCGGAAGGTTTGCAGTTCGGGGATTCTTTGGTCCGTTCTTGCGTGATTAAGGAGATGTCAGGTCTGCTGCGAGCAGGTAAGGGGGGGGTTGTTTCTGGGACACATGGGATTTTCTGCAAATGCGCGTTACCACATCCCAGATCGCCGTGGCTTTCCAGCATTGTCCCGCAATTTTGCTTGAGCACCCACTGGTGATCAGTAGGGAATGACCTTCCGAGTGTTGGGGGAATGAACCGGAAGGGGATTTCCTTAAAGGAAACCATAGGTTGGATAGTTCTTCCCGGGGTCATTTTACTCATTCCCTGCATCTCTCGCACCGATGGCAAGGTTTCAGTTCAGTTTGGCCGAGCCCCAGTTTGAGTGAACATGTGTGCGACAGACTCTCCGGCATTGATGTTTCTGATGCCTGACAGGGCAAAGACAGAAAGAAACTGGGTGTGGCTCAAAATTAAACGATCGGAGGGGCAAACCGCAGGTTTTGGGTAACCCATGTTTCCAGCTACCGATCGGGCTTGCCCCATTTTGGAACTTTTCCGGTTTTTGGAATTCGCCACAGCCAACTGCCTACGTCCAGAGCCCCGCGAGAGGCGGTGCCGGAGCCTGTGGTCACCTTCCTGATCCATGCCCGACACCTCGGATGTCCCGAAAACCGGGGTTTCCGCTGCTTGTGGGAGGTGTGTGTGTCTGCGTTATATATATATATATTTTAACGGGTCCCCGGGTTGGGTGGTGGGTTTTTTCACTCCCCGAGTTCCTGGACTTTAGACTTTTTGGGAGGATCATTTTAGTGGCACGTAAAAAGTTTGGACTTTTTCTGGCCGATCCACTCAGGAAGTGAGTTTCAAAGGGAAACCAAGAGGAAATCAAGCGTTTTTGAGGCTCCCCTGTTGTGAGACAACCACTCGCAGAGGTTTTAATCTTTTCGCGACTGGTGCAGGATTCTGTAGTCCATCGATTCGATCATTAGTATGGGCAAAACAAAAAGTCATACCAGTGTTTGTTCAGAGTCCAACCTCCAGTTGTCTTGGGATTTTGGTAGAGCTGGTCATGAAGCCTTCACTAGCGTTGTAGACAGCAGTTTTAAGTGCGTCGAGTAGAGGACCCATGACCATGATACCACAGTGCATGGGGGCATATTTTTTTCGAGGTCATGTGCTTCAAATATGTGCGGAACACATATTTTGTGTGGCCCATATATGGGCTTGCGACCTATGTGTCAAAGGGACAAATGTTTGCAAACATGTTTTGAGGGAACTGTGTTTGGACTTGTTCCGCTTCCATCCACGCTGTGCGGAAGTCGTAGCACATGCGTCCTTCTCCAATAAGAGACGTGAGATTGCTTGGTTGGTTCTGAGCTTTGTGCGTTGAGATCCGACACGTTTGCAGAGCTCTTTCCCTCCTTTGCGCGGTCTACTGGATGGGTAGATGGGCCTCGGGCTTTTGGGAAACCTTACTGGGGAACCTCCCAAACAGCCTTTCAACAAAGAAACTGGATTCCCTCTATGCCTGTGGCATGGACCCTGCAATGAACAGTTTGGTCCTTGAAAAAGGGGCTTCGGCAGAACGCTGACAAAGCCAAGGCCCAGCTGATAGTTTCCTCTCTTGGAGTTCTGAAGGAGTCCCTTGTGATCAATCTTCTTGGAAAAACATAGACAACACGACGGGTTCTGACTAGGGAGCTATGACCACGGCTTTGATCATGGCACAAAAGAAGCAACTACTTGCACCAAGCAGGTCAAGGCTTCAGCAGTTTCAGAGGAGCTTCCTCCCATGCACCGAGAGTGACATGCACGAAGCCGAATGCCGGGTACGATCTTGTTCTAGTCATAGTTTCTTTCATTCTCTAATGGCTTTTTCCCGCCTGCGTTTTGGAACGGATATGTATGGAACTCACAATAGCTGAAACTGCTTGTGAGCCGGAACAGAATGAAGTGGGCATTTCAGCTTTTCGCGGGCTGGTTTACCACTTGTAGTCACTGTCACTTGGCAACAGGTTGTGCAGTCAAACTTCGGGCAATACACTGGATCCGTGTACCTTCAGACCAAATTTAAACTGCACTATACTGCTTTTGTTTTACTTCCTGCACCAATGCGTCCAGCTGTGCTTTTGCCTGATCTTTGGTCTGCTTCCATAAACCAGACATATGTTGTTCACTTGCGAATGGGGGGAAGCGCCACTCAATGCTGTTTCTCAGTTGCCCAAAGCCGACCTTTTTTCCTTTTTGGCCTAGTTTTAGTCATGGCCCCAAAAGGTTAACCTTGTATTTCTGGGTCCTTTGGGCAAGTGAGGTTTAACGCCACGATCGGGGTTGCTCGTTTGTAGGAAATCCCCACAGTGTTGTTTTTTGTTTCCCTCGGTTTCCCTTTGAACAAACACAAACAGGGTATGAGCTCAAAAGAAGACGCTTCCGGAATGATTCAAAGGGCACCAACCCAGAAAAGACACTTCCAAGATGAAACTGGGCATTTTGTGTTGGATGCTTGGCTAGGTCCCCCAGTAGTGCCCTTCTCTCCCCTTTTTTGGGGGGCAGGTTCCCCTATGAAAATAGACAAAACCGAAAAAACCAGAAACAAAAAATCGGGTACCCTTATTCTAAGCTCTCAAATCTGGAGGACCTCGTTGGGACACCTTTGAGTCATTCCCTTTCTTCGGCTCTCCCGGATCGATCCGCGCGAACAACTCGAGGTCTTGCGACACTTCCGGGACGACCTGCGGGCGGCCTTTCAGATGATCGATGGGCGCGGGCCTCACAAAGCGAAGCCCTGCCAGGTCCCCCGACTCGAGTCGAAAAAAATGAGGCTAAAAGTGGGCGCCCATGTTTGACCCAACTTTTTTTGGGGGGGAGGGTTCCTTATTCTAAAATAGACCTTTGCTAGGTCTCCCAGCAACCAACATTGGTTGGTGCAAAAAGGGCCATTTCCAAGAGGAAAGTAGTCTTTCTACAGGGGTCTGTGCACCAGCCCATGTTAGCTGGTGGGAGGGTAGGTCCCCCAGCAATTGGTGCCCTTTCTCACCGTTTCTGTCTAAGTTTTGGTTGGGAGATTCGGTCCCCTACTAAAATCGACCACAGAAAAAAGTTGGCACCCTTGTTGCCTTATTCTAGCCTCTCTACTGGAGGACCTAGATGAAGAAAATACATGTATACAATGTTTGGCGCACCTCGGAGTTGGGCCGATAGGGCCGAGGGAAGCCCAAAGAATGGGGCGGTTCACTTTCAAGCAGCCCACGCGTGCGTGCCATCAAGAAAGATACGCCCATGCCCGCCAGCTGCCGAGTAAGCAATACCGATTGCATTGGAGGTGTGGAGGCTTGTACATTTTGACTGAACAACTATATATGTATATATATATATATATTAGACATACTATACCACCCGTTTTGAGTGTTGCAGGGCAGCAGATACCCCCCCCCACATAAGTGGTATCTCACCTCCTTGCCTCCAAACCCGGAAATTCACAAGGAGTGTGATTCAGGGTTGCGTAGGTTGCCGCTCGATAGGCAAGCTGACACCGGCAACGGCAAGCTGACACTGCCCGGCCCTCGAAAAGTCAAAACGAGTTGCCATCGGACGTTGTCCCCAAAGAGGGGAGCTCTTTCAGGGGTTGGTTTTCCTGGCAGAATTTCCTCTGACACAACCTCGCAAACGGTACCTTCACGCCAAGGACAGTGCAAGTTAGGTTGCTTTACCGGACCCGCCTAAGTGGAGCTCGTTGTTTGACAAAACCTCACCCGCTCCTCTAGCGCCCCGCACAAGGACGAAGGGGGCGATATTTTTGTGATCCAAAGGCTTTGGCCCCCTAGAGCCAGTTTCCCCCTTAGGTCTTCGGACTCAGTTGGATCTGGCAAGCTGAACTTCGATCATGGCAGATCCACAAGTCGATCTTTTTGCGGGCTGTCTTGGGGCCCATGGTGGGTTTGCCTTGCTCGGTTTACTCCAACCCGCAAGGGCTAACGAAACGATCATGTCGAGACAGCGGCCACATCAGCAGCTCCGGGCACACAGTCAGGACAAGCATCCAGGATGTTCGCCAAGCTTTAGGGGGTTTTGACAAACTTTTGACCATTCAAGGTGTATCTAGTACTACTGTGGATGGACAAAATCCTGCACCACTTCGAAACCATGGGCAACCATTGTTTGTTGGTATTTGCGGGGGAATCAAATCATTCCAGGGATTCTGAGGTGGTGCGAAGTGAATTTTGTCATTCCACAATATGGTTATTCGATCACAAGGGGGCAGTGATGCATCGAATCTCCTGGGAACAGTGCTGGCACTCGCTCCCTCAAGTCCCAACCAAATTGGTGGCACCGGGGTGTGGGTCATCGGTCAATATCGGCTGGTCGAAAGGAATCCATTGCCTGCAACTTTTGGTGCTAAAAGGGTCCCCCTTGGTATCCACGACTCCCAACAAGCATGGACTAGCATTGGCCGACCCATGTTGACTGCAAAGAGACATCGCTTACGCTCACCACAGTGCCAGCAGTATAGGGCACTGATCATAATTTTTCCGAGGGAACCGTGTGTCGAAGACAAGCCAGGTCTCGCCCCTTTGTGGCTTTTCACCCCCTTTGCCTGTGGTATGCTCCTTGTCGTATCTTGGTTCTAGTGTTTAGTGGTAGTTTCGATTTAACCTAAAAGTTAGTCACTTTTAGCGGGGGATCTGAGGGCAACCACTGTTTGCTGCCATTTACAAGGAAATCATCAGAAACCTGGGTTTCTTAGGTGGTGCGAAATGGATTTCGTCCATCCACAGTATGAATGCTTCTTGTTTTCCGGCCGGGCGCCTCGGGATCTCCCATTCGATTGGGGAACCGGAAGGCGGGAGTTCAAGCTGGCGGTGGCGAGCCTGGGTTGGAAGGAGCTGGCGCCTCAGACTCTTAGACATAGGTGTACTTTTTGGGTGAGCCTGGTCAAGAATAGATGGCACTGGTTTAGACGGGTTTTGTTCCATTTACGAGGACCATCTATTTTTCCAACAGGCCACCTATGCTCTCAGACTCTCACGCACAAAAAAAATAATCGTGTCCGAAAAGCGGGGAGTTTTTGCGAGAAAGGCCGACTTTTCCGCGGAAAAGCCGACTTTTAATAGCTCCCAAGTGGTGACAAAAGTCGAGGTTACGAACTGAAAAGCCAATTGTTTTTGGCACAAACTGGGTTTTCCCAAGTGGTCCATCTGTTTTATTAGAATCCAGACCACCGATGCAAGCCGTTCAAGGGTTTGCTGATGTTTTGGGTTTCTTTTCTGTATGGCTACAGGCCTATCACCTCTTGGGAAAATTCACTAGTTGTGGTTATGCACATTGGAGATCTTTCTAAGAATTGATGTGGCAATGCACGGAAACCCGGGGAGAACGGCAATCGGTTGTAAAGAAGGATGGTTGCAACGAATGGTTAGAACCGATCCCTGAACTCTTTGTGCTAGCTTTTGAGCTTTTTAGCCTTTTAGCGGCTGGATTTCCGAGTCTAACCCTCTAAGGGGACCAGCCCCCAGAGGTGTAGTTACTCAACTGCTCAGATAGCTCCCATTGCCCCAGGTTCATGGACCCCGAGCGCGCGACCCAGATCTTTCGATATCTGGACCCTGACCGCGGAGGCTCGAGCGCTCGAGCCGCTCGAGCGGAGGGAGGGCCCTGCAGGAGTCTGCGCAAATTCGTTTGGGGCTAAAAACAAGCTCACGCCTGGTTGAGTGTTGAGGATCTCTGTTGCCCAGTGGTGCCCTTTTTCCTCTTTTTTTTGGGTAAGGGTTCCCCTTTAAAGTCCACCAACCAAAACGAGGATGCCCTTTTTTCCAATGGAAATCCACAGGGCATCTTGGGGATGGCTTGCTTCGGGTTTGAGTCACAGCCCTCGGTCTTCCTCCAAGCCCGCAGAAATTCACAAGAATCAGAAAGGCTATTGACTGGGTCTCCCAGTAGTGGGGAGGGGTCCCCTACTAAAATAGACTACAGAAAAGAGTTGGTACCCTTATTCTAGCCTCTCTACTGGAGGACCTAGGTGATTTTCTAGATAGTTTCCCTCTTCACATTAGTCCTTCAAGCGGAGAAGGACCCGTTGTGGCAGCGGCCTGGTTTCCGAAAGAGGAGTGGTGCAATGGTTGAGGCGAACCTCTTCACATTTTCGCAAAGGGCGGTCACACCAAGCATCCTTTGATGCATTTTGCTTGGATGTTAGCACTTTAACTTTTTGCCAACTAAGGGGTTGTCCATTAAACCACCAAAAGTTAAACTTTTAGCAGGGAAGCAGAAAGCAACCGAGCATCATCATAGTACATGTTTCCAAGAGTGGATGCCTCCAAATCCGTTGCTTCCTCTCAATTGGTTTCCCATTAGGTTTCCCAGTTTCCCATCAACACCATCCTTGCTGCATTCGAGCAAGCACCCCCCTGTCCACATTCATGAGCAAAGTCAATGGCACCCCTCTGGGCAGGCGCCTCAAACATATACCTCTTCTACCTCTATGCTCGCACATAGGATTGGCACTGTCGGACATCTATGTTGCCGGCGTGGTACCTTGGCTGATTGATGACCCGTTCTCTTTCAACACCAAGCTGAAGCCTGGCAATTTTTGCTGCTTTCCAGTATGGTCTGCACGCAAAATCAAAAGCTGAAATCTCGTGTTGAACCGGCAGGTTGAGAGTGCCAATTTTCTGGGTGAGGGTCTCCATCCTTTTGCCCTTGATCCATCCGCCGGGTGCCTTTCGTGCTCCTTCTCGGGCCGAATGAGGCCCCTTTTCTGCACAAGTCATAGCGAGCTCTAGGTGTAAAGCGAGCCCAGCCACGACTCCTGATGAAGCGTGGGGTAGACTTAGGATACATTGTACATTTTGCCAGTGACTCAAAGGGAAGCAACCAATAGAATATACATTCTAGAACTGGGCCTAAGTCTAATCATGAAACTTTCTTCTTTGGGCTTCCTTTTGGTCTAATCCGGGAGTTTTGTGAATTGCCAAGGCTTTTGGTGAGCCTTTCTGGGCCTGAAGTTGTGATTCTCCAGCACGCCGTTTGGTGGTCTCCCCACTAAAAATGGAGTCAACCACCACAAAACAGGGTTCCTTTCCTCCTGAAAACGATCGAGGTCGAGAAAGAACATGGTCGCCTTTTCTTACCTTCCACCGTTCGGCCGTTCAGGCACCATCTCCTACGCGGAGTGGCAGGTCATGGAGGAATTCTTGAAGGCTTGCGAGAGAATCAGGTTTGACAGGAAGGGCCTGCGTTCATTTTGTTTGGAGGGTATCTGCCTCAGGATTCTGAAAGGGAAAGCAGAGGTTCCCACATTTTGCAGCACACAAACACACATGTATTTGTTTGAGGATTATGTTGTTCCCTTTGTTGGTTTTCCTTGCAGGACCTCAGTCAGGGATGCAAATCCGTCTCTTTTCTCACGTTTTGGCGTCAACAAGGCAATGCATGCAGGTCCCCTTCTTGAACTGCAGGTCCGTTTCTTTGCATACTTCGCATTGACCTTACATCTGGCGGCTGAAAAGAACCAAGCATGTCTCTCAGGCATGTCCACAACCAATCTGTTAGTACTAGGCTGCTTTGGGATGCTGGCAACATTCCCGTTGTTCGTCACCTGGAGGAAGCTAGCTGCCTGAGTTTGTTGCCAAGCATGTTTGGTTTGAGAATGTGAGCCCACACCTAGGGAACATGCTCTGTTGTGGATGGATGCCAGGACTGCGTTCCAAGTGGGTGTTGACATCCTGGTTCGGCATTTTGCTGACTTTGACGCCTTCCAACTGCCTGATGCACACATGCTTAAGGGCCATTTGTTTGAAAAGAAGGAGAATCCTGACACCATAGGTGTCCTTTTTAGGTTAGTTTGCTTACAAATAGACGGCACTGGTTTAGATTCCATTTACCAGGGCCATCTATTTTTCCAAAACGACACCTATGCCTGAAACCAACAGCGAAGCCTCCATTTGCTTAAGAGTTGTTTTTCCCCCTTGTTGGCTTTAAAAGGAATTCATTTCTACTGGACATATTTCATTTTTTTCCTGGGGCCTTCACCAAATGGAAGGAAGGCAAACCCCTGGGGTGCTTTGTTGGCCTCGCCTCGCATGGCGTGAGGAGCTCCAGTTGTCCATCCTGGAGCTCTTGCAGCGAGGGTCTCGATGTGGAAGTTTCGCCTCGCTTCGGTCCAGATCAGGTTGCCGCTTTTGCGGGGCTCCGCAAAAGAAAACTCCATTTTGCCTTGCCAATTGAAGCATGCTGCTTTTTCAACACCAACATAAAGTTGGACACCGCCACTTACGAGGCAATGTTCAGGTGTATAATGTTAGGATCCCGGTTTTCGGGTCCCCGGTTTGTGCGGTTTGGCTGCCACGTTTGTGGCAGCGGGTCTGGGTTTTTTCGCCCCTCCACCTCGACCCTTTTTTCCTTTTGGGCTTCCAAGTTTGGGGCCAACAGAAGTGTGGTCAAGGCAACCCAAGAATCAAGAAAGTCAGCCCCTGCGTCCAGCGATTTCTAATTTCGCGCGCTTTTGTGTGTTGGGTCTGGCCCCATTGATCGTTTGTTGCCAACGCCTTGATCCCTTGGCTCTGACCTTAGTTTCGATTTGGCGGCACATTCAGAAGTTAGGCGGTCGAATTGACGATGACTGTGTTGTTTCCATCATGCACCTTAGTTGGTTCCATCCATGTTCTGATTGGATATGACTGTTGATACGTTCGCGGCATGCAGCTTCTGCGTCTCTTCATTTGATCATGACCTACATCACTTGATGATCAGGGTACTAGTACCATGAATCAGCCAACAAACCATTCTGCGACCACCAATGGGGCCAGACGTCGTGTCCATGTAGGCGACCCTCCCAAATGCAGGCTCCTTTTGGTTTAGAATTCGCAAAACATGGGATTCCTTTGCACATCAGATTTTCCGTGTCGGTGGTAGCACTTCCTGTAGATCTTTTATTGGGTGCCCAAGGTAGCTTTCGGCCCTACGCCTGCCAGAGGTGAAGCTGCTAGCAACAGAAGGTAGGGGCACAGTCATTGCCATGGATCCTCGGCTGGACCAAATGCCACCGGGCACGGTGGTCTCTTTGGTGGCCTCATTTTTGGAGCCGCATTCGGGTGGTTCCCTTTTTCGAGGCCTGAGTCCACCTCAGGATTTCGTGCTGTCAGGTACAACGGCCTTTACACCAGGTATTTGGACCCTCTATGACATCCTCTGCGAGGACTCAGATGGGATTCTGCCGGTTTGGAGCCTGGGAAGCAATTCACGGTTCTCGCTGGGGGCTAGGGATTCCTTGGGACCACCGGCTCTCGTCAAAGAGCTTTGCGCGGGTATGGGAGGGTTTAGCCTCGGCTTCGCCTTCTGTGGCTTCAACTCCGCCGCATTCGCCGATCACAGTCCACTTGCCTGCCAGTCTTTGCAAGCAAACACAAAGGCTATGGTTCGATGCGCAGACATCCAACTCTCCTCCACACTCGCTGACCTCCAGGACACCGAGCCTGGACGCCCCTTCCTTCTCACAGCAGGATTTCCGTGCCAGCCATACTCTAATCAGGGCGACAAACGAGGCACTGCCGACCCCAGAAGCAAAACACTTGCCCACATACTACGAGCAGCATGGCTCACTCAATGCTATGGATTGGTTCTTGAGTGCGTGGCCAGCGTGCTCAAATATCCATGCATCATTGAGTCCATTCGGCAATTTGCAGCAGCAACAAACATGTGCCTCAAGACCCTGACGCTTGACCTGCAAGACCAATGGGTCTCACGCCGGCACCGTTGGTTTGGAATTCTACTTCCAAACGATCACGACCACCACTCGATCCTGTCCTGGCCTCGGGACAACACCTTTCAAAAGGTCTCTGACGTTATCCCAACCTGGCCAATCTGGCCCGACGACCACGACATCCAACTTCGCTGGAGCGACCTGGAGAAATCCTACTACGACTGCCCCACATACGGGAACGACCGGAGAACTCTTGACACAGAACAACCTGCACCGACCGCCCTGCATTCGTGGGGGGTCCCTTTGCAACCCTGTCCGTGCGGATGCCGATCATCCCGATTTGGGGAGACTCGCCTCCTATCTGGAGGCTTACGTGGATTCGGAGTACCATCCAAGGACCCCCATCGGCCGAGGTTTCTTCATCCTCAAGAAGCCGGTCTCCTCAACTCGATTCCAGCCACGTACCACTACCTTCCCAACCAACGAGGAGCGTTGTGCCTGGTCGGGCAAATCGCTGCTCCTCTCCAAGTCGTATGGGTCGCAGCCCATCTGGCATGCTGGCTTCATGGAGCTACAACACCACCGATCGTTGCCCTCGATCGGTTCAAGGAGCTCCTCATCAACACCAGGGACGACCACTGGGTGCTGCCGGAAATGCACATCCCTCGGCAGCTTACCATCACTCACGATGATGGATCCACCACACATCTCACTGTACAATCACCAATCAGGACCTCGCAGCTGCTTGAGGCTAACCATATCTCCAGTGAATGGGGATTTTCCTACCGGCTCTTCCACAAGAACCGCCTGCTCGCACCTGCAGCGCTACTACACTCGGATGACACGCATGCTTATAAGCTTGCAGCCATCTCCAAGAGACAAGCACTCCCACAGCCAACCAACACCTTCGTTGTCACACTTGTCAGTCTTGCCAGGAGGGTTGTCCGGACCCAGAAAGTGTCCCCAAAGCTCTTTTTGGTCAATGGACAAAAATGTGCGTTTGTAGTGAAGTAGGAAGGCTTTGGCCGGATGATATGGCCAAAAAAAAAGTGGTCGCTTCACACGCCAGAGGCCAAACTGTGCTTTTCAGGGCATTGCCCTAGGTTTGCGGCGATATTGGCTTCAAACATTGTTTTGCGGTGCGATGTTGGCCGCGGAGACGACTCATCAGCGCGGGGTTGCGTATGAACTATTCCGTCGCGGCCTCGATATATGAGCGTCGCTCGGGCCCTCGCGTCGACCAACGGTATCTTGGATGAGAAGGAGACCCCGAGCCACTGGCTGGCTGGTCGTCGTCGCTTGAATCTTTGCTTGGTCTCTTACTATTTCCCACGGTTTGTTTGCAAACAACATTTGTGAACGCTATAGCTCAGATCTGGGATTGTTCTTATTGGGCACTTGTCGTATTTTTTGTACTCAACCCAGTTTTCCAATTGCCATCCCCTTGTGTTTTTCGATACTCACTCGGCATGCATACATGCATGTCCCTTCCCTATACATAAGTGGTTTGTTGTTGTATAGTTATAAACCGAACACATGCATGCATGCATGGAGTGGGTGGGGGAGTTGACTTGTCGGGTATGCATGCGTGTGCGGGGGCTGCATGCATATATGCATGCACGCATGCAATGCATGCATGCATGGGGGGCTCCGCTTACATGGTGGTGCAAACACGAACGTGCGCGCTGCGCTATAGTGCTGGCTCAGCTACCTTCCTGCGAGTCGACTCTGCACGCAGCCATGGCTGCCACGCCTGCGAACCCGACGCTTGTTGAGCTGGCTGCGGTTTGGCCAGACAACACAGCCCAGGCAAGCCCGCCATGCATGCAATATATATAGGCCCCGCACGCATGCGTGCAGGAGAAGCTGTTGGACCTCACCTGCGCTGAAGATGTTCTCGACATGGACGATATGAATGCCGCAATTCGCGAAACCATGTTGAAAGACAACCAGAAAGTTCTGGTCGAGCGCCTTGTGCCATGTGCGTTTTCCTTACTGTACTTTGCGACAAACAAATGCGCGCGTGCACTCTTGCGCGCGCCAAGGACCCTCAACGTCTTCGAAAGCTTCGGGCGGGTCTACACAGTCGAGGAGCTGGAGGCCACCCTGCAGCTGAAGTTTGAGCCCAAATTCGAGGCGAAATTGGGGCATGCGCAGGCCGTGGCGCTGAAATCCATGGTGCCTCACCCAGCTTCGCTTGAGCCAAAATAAAAGCATTTAAATTGTGCCCACACACAAGCGCTATATACACAGGCGCTCTGGGTGGTGCGGCAGAAGAAGAAGGCCACGGGATGCCGCAAAGATTCTCAGTTGCGTCTAGCATATATGGGCTTATATAGATACATATAATCGCTGCGCCACGCTGCTTCACCTCAGGGCCGCGCGTGGATGGCGGCGCTCAAGGATGCGGTCGGGGAGAACTTGGCCGCAAAGAAGTTCCATCGCAAGCCGCGAGGATGGTTCTTTTTTGCTCATTTATGTCAGTCCATTTTTGTGGTTGGGCAAGTCCTTCTCTTTTTCCACACCAGGCTCCACAGTGGACACTGCGGACACGCTGCCCATGCCCACAGACCTCGTAGATGGGCCAGAGCAGGCGAAGGGCAACAAGGGCTTCATCGCCAACCCTGATGTGCCTGCCCCTGAGTGCTTGGAGCAAGTCATGATGCAGCTTGAAGCTTCTCCGCCGCAGCCTTTCGAGCCCAGCTTGCAGCACAAAAGCGCCTTCAAGCAAAGGCTGCAAGACGCAAAGGAGGGAGCTGCAAACCCTCCAGGCAGGCGCCATTTGTGAGCATGTGCCTCGGATCGTGGAGTCGTGTGTCGCGCTTCCCCGCGGAGGCATCCAGCAGCAACAGCTGAAGGCAAAGGACGTACCGCCCCTCACTCCACCGCCTTGCATCTCGCTTAAACCACATTTGTTGGAACAGTGCCCCCTTTTGTGTTTTCTGCAAATTGCTATTTGAACCCTGCAAGGATGACACGCCCCACGCAGGCAAACCCAGCTCATGACCTGCCCTCCCTTTCTGGCCACCCCACGCATGCATTGCAACCCACCTCCCCCACACATGCTGTTTCCATTCCAGGCTTTAAATTTCCAACCACGCTTCCATGCATGCATGCACGCATGGCACCCCACGCATGCAATGCAACCCACCTCCACCACACACATGCTGTTTCAATTCCAGGCTTTAAATTTCCAACCATGCTTCCACGCATGCATGCACGCATGGCACCCCACGCATGCAATGCAACCCACCTCCCCCACACACATGATTTTCGCACCAGCTTCCACGCATGCATGCACACGCCCCATGCATGCAATGCAACCCGCATCCCCCACACACATGACTTTCCAACCAGCTTCCATGCATGCACGCACACGCCTCCATGCATGCACACGTGCATGGCACATGCATGACACGCACG